AGGAAGGAAGGAAGGAAGGAAGGAAGGAAGGAAGGAAGGAAGGAAGGAAGGAAAGAAGGAAGGTAAGAAAAAGGTGTCCTTCTTTCCTCCCAGCTGCAGATGCCCAGCTTGGAACTGTATCCTTGGAGAAGTGAGAGCCACAAGAGGGCCTTAAAGGGGAGTGTCTAGGATAAGGCTGTCTACGTAATCTGAATCCATCATGCTCTTAGGAGACACGTCCCACCAGAGGATCCCCAGCCACATGTGTCCCAGGACAGCTTTGAGTGCAGCCCAACATATCTGTAGATGACAATGTCATGTCTCAATGTCCAAAGATTGTACAACCCCAGGTTAGGCCACTGTCCACCGGCTGTTTCCCGGGGAAGGCTGGTTCAGAAAAGCAAGCAACAGGCAACAAGAAACAAGCACACAGTAAACCCTGCTGCCGAGGACATATGCCAATGGAGACACAAGTCTCCAGATGAGGTTATGGACAGAGCTAAGAGTGCCACTCTGCTTCCTGATTGCAAAGTTCCAGGGTTAATGCCACATAAAGAAACCAGCACCAGTAGGATTTGCTGCAGGTGGGAGAAGGGGGCCGGGCTCACATTCAGGGCAGCCTCTGCTTCTTCCAGGGCAGGTTTGGCCGCCTCCAGTTTGCTCTCCGCTTTCACCTTCTCACTGTCGATTTCATCCACGATCTTCTGGGCTTTGTCTTTTACCTCCTGGACTTCATTTTTCACTTTGGCTGAAGCCTGGGCACTCACCGTGACTTCCGCCAGCACCTGGTACAGCGAGGACACCAAACTCTTTAAAGCCAAATGTGTGGATGTGCATCCAAGAGATACTTATGTAGTAGAGTGTAAGACAAGAATATAAGAGCAAAGCTCTCCATCCTGTATTTTAACTTGCACTAAAAAGTACTTCAAGGCAGCTGGAGGAATGGCTCAGCCATCAGGAGCACCGACTACTCTTTCAAAGGACCTGAATTCAGCTCTGACACACCCACATCAGGTGGCTCACAATCATCTGTAACTTCAGTTCCAGGAGACCAGATGCCCTCTTCTGGCCTCCATGGATACTGTATTCATGTGAACACATACAGGCATGTATATACACATGAATAAAAATTAAACCTTTAAAAAATAGTTCCTCTAAGTGGTACCCTGTGATACATCATGCTCTGAGCTATCCTTGAACTTAAAAGTATATATAAACAAAATGTTGCAAGATTTCATAAAAACAGTATTTCCAGTCTAAGACCTTTTAGATAGTTAAAACAATTCAAGTACAATGGAGTAAAGTAAGAAGCCACATTGAGTCTCCAATAATAATTATTATAATAATAATAATAAATAATAATAATAATAATAATAGCTAACATTTGTTGAGGGCTTGGCACACACTGGGACAATGCTTGCTTAAAGTGCCATTTAATTCAGCAAACTGGCTATGGGTCCAAGCTTGGGGTGCCACTTTCAAACCAACTCTCAGCAGACTTTGAAAGCAGTCTGTAAGAGGTGGTTGGACACAATGAGCCACGCAGGTGTCCCATCCCCTCAGGGGTAGGACTTTGGGTTGTTGTTTTTTCTTTACTCCACCAACCCCTCTCTTAGCCTTTTCCTTACTCAGAAAAAAAAATGATGAGCCTTAGCTCCTCTAAGAAATTAGAGCAGGGAAGGACCTCAGAGATAAGACTTACTACATCTCACAGTTCAGGAGAACGTGCACAGACAGACGAGTGAGAGCAAGAGCTTAGGTAGAGAGAAAGAGAAGACTGTTCTAGACCAGGCAGAAGATGTCTTACCACACCTACTTTGTTGGTTTAGGTCCTGTTTGTTTTAATACAGTTTTGAAATAAAGATTTTTTATAAGTAATTTTAATCAGTTTTTTGAGAATTGCATACAACGTAAAAATGCTTTTTAAACATGGGGAGACATTCCTTGTTGGTGGGGACAGGGTACGTGCAAACTCACTTCATCTGCTTTCACGGACGCCACGGCCAGTTCCTTCTCCTTCACGGCAAGATCCTGTGAGAGTTTGGCAACAGATTCGCTTGCCTCCATCAGCTTGTCGAGACCTTTACAAACACACGTGTCCTTGCCAGTTACGGCACAGCCTCACACCAGGTACATACTCACTACTGAGTACACTCAGAGCAGGCACAGTGTGTGACATACAGCCCAAACACAGCGTGGTTTATTTAAATATGTATATTTTTATATATATATTTATATATATATATATATACATATATATGTGTGTGTATGTATATATATATTTAGAACGAGACCACTTTCTTCCATGCCCAGCTTTTCTCGTGGGTTCTGGCGATCCGAACTCGGGTCCTCTCGCTTGTGCAGCAGACACTTTACCCACTGAGCCATCTCCCCGGCCCCCAGTTTTGTCTTGTTCCAGTTATGCTTTTTCCTACAAGATGGCTTTTCCTGGTCAGCAAGCAGCATTCAGGGACTGTGACTCACACCTGACACAGTGAGCCCAGGACTAAAAGAACCATCAGCCATGGTGCTAGACAAAGAAATGGCCTCTGTTCACAAACAGACCTGATGTTTCACCAGGCCAAAGGGCATTTGATAACATGACCTACTTTTAATTATCAAATTAATATTTGTATTGAACAAACACTCAGAAGTTCAAGGTCATCCTGGACTAATATTGAGTCAGAGGCCAACGTAGAATATAGGAAATGCTATCTCAAAATACCAATACAACTGTTAAAAAAATTCATATTTAGGGACCAGAAGGATGACTCATAGGTTAAGAGTCTGCATTGTTCTTGCAAAGAACCTAAGTTCATTCTCAGTACCCATGCAGGGCAGCTCACAAATTTCTGTAACTCCACCTACAAAGGGACTCAATTCCCATATGTACCTGCACTCACATGCACACATACACATAGCCACATACACACACATAGCCACATACACATACATGCACACAGTCACACACACAGCAACATACACACACAGCTATATGCACACATACACACACGCATACAAAGACACATACACACAGTCATATGCACACACACAGCCATATACACACACACAGTCACATGCACACACACAACCACACACACAGCCAAATGCACACACAAAAGCCACATACACACACAGCCACATGCACAGCCACATACACACATACATATGCACATACAGCCACACACACACAGCTACATGCACACACACAAAGACACATACACACACAGCCACATACATAAACAGCCACATGCGCACACACACAACCACATACACATATGCATAATTTTTAAAACCTAAAAAAACGAAGAGTGTTTGATTTTCAAATGCAATGATATCCATTCAATAAGGTGTTGGGATCGCCATCAAACAAACCCTTTAAGAGACCAAGCTGGCCACTCCTCTTACCGATATTCATCCGCTCTGCTTGTTCATTGATGTACTTCACCTTCTCCGTATAGATGTTTTTATAACCATTTATAAATGAGAGGTATGATTTGGGAGTCACATGGGCTCTTCGGCGGTATCTGAAAATGGAATATAAAAATAGCCCCTCTCAGACACGCTACTGTCTTCCTGTGAAGTGCCCCGTCGCTGCACCCACCGTGAAAGCTATGGGCAGTACCTGCCATTCCAGAGGGCCACGGGGTCCTTGACCTGACTCTTGCCCTACTCGGGCCTGGTGTTTCAGCGTATGGGAAGCTAGGGAAAGGATGCTGCATAACCCCATCAGGGTTTGTAAAGATTAAAGAAATTAGCATGCTCTGTCAACAGGAAGTTTCTGGATAGACCGGGGGCGGGGCGGGGGGGGGGTGAAGCGGGGCTGAGGCCAATGGGCTCTGCCACACACTTTCACTTAGCTCCTGTTTGCTGCTCATTATAGACCAGCCTCTCCCCTGTCTAGCTGGGTTGGCCTTGAAGTCCAAACAGCCACACTGGATTTGGGGTTCAACTCTCTGTGGACTTTACACTTCAGTCATCATAATCACCACAGAAATAAACAAAAGAGGTGATTTTACATCAGAAACTAAGGTCTGAGTCTAGACTCTAAAATCTTACATTTCTGACTTAGAGGCTCACCTTTGGGGTTCTGGGGGTTTTAACATTTTCAGAGTTTCTCTTGTTTTTGCCTTTTGCTTGTTTAGAATGGACAAATTACCGCTAGAGCATTTTGCAAAAGTGTTCACTTTGTAAAATCATTTTGTAGAAACCATTCTTCCACTTAAGAGAATAGGAAATGTTTGAAGAATGTAGCTGAATTTTCAGAACTCAAGAAAGGCATTTTGTGGCCGTGTGAAAAGATAAAAAGGAGATTGATGGTAGACGCAGAAGGAATAACGTGTGCACGTGTGCCCAATTGCGAGGATCCGTGCCCACTAACTCCAGAGAGTCTGTGAAACACCTAGGATCGGTTAGGAGGGATGGTCTGGACATGGTCCTAGCAGAAAGAAGGGGTTGGCATAAGCCAACACTTCAAGGCAAGTGCATCCCCCAGATGTCCCAGCGTTACCCAGACTCTGCATAGAAAAACAGGCATAGCTTTTCAGGTAGGTTCTGGGTCTTGCAAAGCCCCCCCCACCAAGCAGGGAGCTCGATATTCTGGCAGCCCCTGCAGACCCTTCTTTAGTCCTAGCTGGCATCTGTATCCATCTTGGCTCCCATGCATTGTGGAGCAAAAAAACCTTACAGTATTTCTAAGCACCATGGCCAGCTTGCTTGGAATGAGCACACCATGACTGTTCTTCCCAAGTGGTCCTCCTGCACCCAATTAAAGTCCTGTTTCATAATTAATCACCAGAATAGCTTTGATAAGACTCGGCTATGCAAATGCCAAGCCTAGAATGTTCCCTCAACATAAGGTAATAAAGAAACTTAAAAACAGTGTCCTTCTTTAATCAGAATAAATAATGCATTGGGATGAGAAGCTCATTTGAAACCGTTTATAAGGAATTATTTAGGTCATTTTCAAAACAAAATTAAGCAAATGAAACTGTGATTCATTAAGCATCTGCTACTTGGAGTCCTGGAGGGTACAGAGGTATTTAAAAGTATGGCCCCTAGTTAATTTTTAAATCTCGCTTATCTGGCATCTTTTCATTATTTAATTACTAGGAAATCAATGCAAGAAAGATGTGGTGTGGCTGGGCCTGCACAACCAGGCTATGCCAAGGGTCGCTTACTGGTCGTCACATTTAATGCCCCTTTGGAGAGGACTTTCCGGCTCCAGTTCCAGCAGCTACAGATCTTATGGAACCTCGCTTCCCTTTGGAAACAGTGCTCACAGCTGCCGAGCTTCTGTAAGCTCACGCACCTTTGGAAGTAATTCTCGCAGCTCTCGGAAACCATGTCGTGGAAGAGTCCCATGGTTTCGACAACCTGCCTCTTGGTCTCACTGGAGCAGACAATGTTATAGTCGGCAAGGAAGTAGGAGGCTACGGCAATCAGGGCCTCCTTGGGCCAGCGGCTGAACCAGTCCATGGTGCAGCCCGAGATCAAGCCGGGGAACTTGAGGGACCGGGCCCGGAACTTCTCGCCAACCTGTGAGAGAACAAGGTCAGAAGATGTGAGAAACGCAGAGCAGTGAAGGCGGCCAACGGGAGAGAAAAATATAGTCACACCCTGGGCCAGCCGTGTGACGCTGAAGGTTAAATAAGACCTCAGGCTGCAGCAGAAGACCAAGTCAATGTTTAGCTGGTGGGAGGTGTGGTGCTAACCTCTTCCCTGTCCTGGGAAAACGGCTACTGTATGGGGTTCAAGTCCAGGAGATACCTCCTAAGAGGAAAGTGACAAACTGAACTCTTGACACAAGGTCGAGGGCAGGGGAGGCCTGGACACTGGAGCAAGCACAAATGTCTTGGTGGAAAGAAGATTTTCTAAACCCTCCCTTTGGCTATCTATTGAAACGATGGACCCCATGAAATGTGAATACCCCTGGACTCTCACTCTTGCTTCCTGAAGGAAAAGGCTAAAGCCTAGAGCCAATAAGAGGAGGAGCTTGTCAGACCACCCTGGAAGAGAGACTGAAGCCCAGACAATGACAGTGGGCAGGACCACACCTTGGCAGAGCCACCCAGATCCTGCCTTCTGTCTAAACTCAAACCTCAGGACAGGGCCCAGAAGCTGGACTTGGGGCAGTGAAGGGGCGTGTCACTGGGCCTATTTGTCCTTCCTTCCAACGTGACCACATTGAATAAATTTCCTGTTCTGCTGTTTATTATTAATTTGTCCCCTTCATTGGCTCATTGAGTACTGGTGGCCAAGGCCGGCCTCTGTGAGCTGCCCAGACCTCAGTCTCTGCCCCTGACAGGCAGCTTAAGGAACAGCTGGGCGCTCTAGGGAAGCAGTTAGGGAGCTAAAGAGACTTCCTCCAAGTGTCTGGGAAGTGCTGGTTGTGGGAGAGGAGCTGGGTACAGTTTACAAGGCAGGCACAGAGTGGGAAACTCAACTGAGTACGGAGAAGAGTTCTGACGAGCAGGGCTGTCTCCACCCCCGAGAGCAATGCGACTCTCTGGGGCAGGGCAGAACTATGCAGTAAAACATCCCACGAGGATGTAAATGTCCTACATGTGCTTTCTAGCAGTGTTTCTCAGCATGGTAGCCACTGACTACACATGGACAGGAAACACTGGAAATGGGGCTACCAGGACCCAGGGAACTAGATTTTTATTGTACATGGGACAAATGGCTGCCAGACTGGTAAGCGCAGTGAGCTAGACATACTCAAAGTTGGAAAATGCATCAAGAATAGTCTAGATGTTTTATCCATACTGGAGATACAGATGGGTGAGATTGTATCACTAAATTCCTCACAATTCAAATAACACATGTCTCTTGTTAATTTGTGAACTGTTCAGCTATATAGTATAGCCTCAAATAATTCATATATTCTTAAATGGCTTAAACTGGTGATGAGATTTGAGGCCAGGGAGCATGGTGTTAGGGAAGAATTCATTTTAGTTGCATGAAAGAAAGGTTTGACCAAACAGCCATTCAGAGAAGGTCTCCTGCTAGATGCATGATTCTGCCTACATAAAGAGCAAAGACTCACCGGGGAAAAGCAGAGAACAACATGCAAATTCTTCCTGGATCTGGTGATGAAGTATTCATACAGGTTGTCAAAGGTGGGAGGGTGGCGCGGCAGCTCCCTCTTCATCACCGAGACCAGGCCTTGGGTGATTTCATCCATCTCGTCTCGGGCAAACAAATTGGAGATCTTTGAGGGACAGGCAAGAAAGTGAGGAAGCCATGTGAAACTTAATTAATAATTTCCCACTGCTGTGAGTCTGGTTAGCCACCCTCCCTTTGCCCTCCCTCCTTCTCCCTCTCTCTCCCTCTCTTATGCTCTCTCTGTCACGCTCATGCACGTGCACACACACACACACACACACACACACACACACACACATCACCATCCCCACCACCACCACCAAGACACCCTTCCTGCTGTTCCTCAGCCACACGCCAAGTTTGCCAGACATTATCAAGAGCACGACTCTTTTATTGAGCACAGTAATCAACAGCAATTCACAGTGCACCCCCTCCCCATGAAGAAGCTGTCACGCTAAGAGCGGTGCCCCCTTCACTCCTCCAATCAATGCTCTCAAGTATCCAGTGATTGACTGGTCTTCTCAGCTCTACTCCCAAGACATTTTACTTAGCCCCGGTCCCATCAAGCGCCAGCAATCACCCGTGTGCTAGCCAGAGTCAACAGCCGCAGACCTGCCCTTGCCAAGGGAGCACTTTGGGGGCTTCCCATTGGCTGGTATCTGGGAACACGGCTTTGGGGCTAACTCTTCCCTTACTAATTGACAAGGTGTTTCCCCTGAGCTTAAACTAATCATGCAAGCACTGCCGATATATGGTCAAGGCCTGTTTTTCTCCTACGAATCCAGAACTTTGACAGCTGTGGACGGCTCTAACAAGGTCTTCCGACTTGGAATCCCACACAGGCTTCCCTGAGCGAAAATGTGATGTAATAGCATGGGGTACACACGTCAGCACCTCTTCCTGAAGGGAAGGCATGTTTTATATAGACCTCAGGGAAAGCACAGGACACCTAGACATCGGTTCCCCAAGGCTATGTGTGTGTGTGTGTGTGTGTGTGTGTGTGTGTGTGTGTGTGTATTGCCATGTGTGGGGGGGTGTGCTTTATGTTTTCTGGTGTGCATGAACACACATGTGGAGGACAGAGGACAATCTCTGTGTCATTCTTCGGACACCATCCAGATTGATTCTTCAGACATGATCTCTCTCTGACTTAGAACTCACAAAGTATGCTACACTGGCTGGCCAGGGAGCCCAAGAATCCACAGAGCTTTACCTCTTCAGCAGTGGGATTCCAAGAACTTACCACCATGCATGACTTTTATTATTATTATTTTTTAAAAATGGGTTCTGGGAATCAACCTCAAGCAAGCATTTTACTGACCAAACTGTCTCCACAGTCCAGGATGTCTCCTACTTATGACCTAGTTGGGCACCCTAACTATAGATCTCAGCCATTAGTACAGCTATGTGCTGAATGCTAGCGACCTGATGGAGTACGAAAGGTGGGTGGTCATGGGAAACAGGAACGCAAGGACCCACCCCACCTGCTTCCAGCAAACAAATTCATTCAACCATTCTACACTCCCAACTGGCAAATAGGTGGAGCGGTAAAATAAGGCATAGGGCCAGGCTGAAGGTAAAAGTTAGGCCAGAACTGTGTTTAAGATGGAATAAATTATATATATATATATGTATATATATATACATATATATATATATATATTTGGAAGTAGGCAGCATTCATTTCACAAAATACAAAAATAAAATGAAATAACCTACTACATCGTGTGTACCTAAATCTCATTTCTGAAGTCAAGAATGTATGCAAAGCAATCCCGTTTTTGTAAAGTTCCTGTTCTTCCTGCACAAATGAGATTTGGATTTAGAGGCTGGGGAGATGGTCCAGCTGATAAAGCGCTTGCCTTGCCAGCATGAAGACTTAACTTCAGTCTCCAGAATCCACATTTTAAAAACTAACAAAAGCCAGGTGTGACTTAATCCAAGTACTGGGGTCCTGAGTTTAAGCCCCAGCATCTACATAAAAAGCCATGCATAGAAAAAAAACAAGCAAACGAAACAAAAAGTCATGCACAGTGGCGCAATGTTTGCAATCCCAGCACTGGGGAGACAGAGATGAGCAGCTCCCTGGGGCTCACTGGGCAGCCAGAGTCCCATGCACACCAACAAATCTCTTGCCCAAAACAAACAAAGCCAAGAAAGGTGGGTGGTGACTGAGCACAATGACAGCCACGCATGTCTTGGAAGTTCCACATGCAAATTCACATGTGTGCACATATATCCGCATACATACATACACCTAGATGTGGGCCCACGAGCACACACACACACACACGCATGCACATCCACACTTTCTCACTGTGAGCTGCCCCTCTCTGAGACCCACCTCCCCCGACGACAGCAAGTTATTGAGGTATTCCAGGAACGCCTCATCTTTTATCTCATTGTCCGTGAAGATGAAGGTGATGCCTTTGCCTTCGGCCCCGGCAACTTTGTACAAGTTCTTCAAGTCCTCTATTAGATTGCTCACATTGTAAGACCTAGAAGAGAAGCAGCAGGTGACTTTTCAAAGCTGTGAATGAAGCTGCAGAGATGGCTCCGCAGTCAGGCGTGCTCGCCGCTCTATCAGAGGACCCGAGTTTGGTTCCCAGCTCCCACCCTGGGTAGATCAAAAGTGCCTGTAGCTCCTGTCCCAGGGGACCCAGTATCCTCTTCTGGTCTCTGCAGACACTGCACACACGCCTTGAGCATACGGATGAGTAGGCACACACATACACATAAACTTAAAGGTAACCCATTAACATATATAGTCATAGTTTATATCAAGGCGCAGTAATAAACCATGATAATTAGAGCAAAAATATGCATTGGCTCCAACACATACTGAGTAATGGTGTCTGCCAGAAAACACGGGGTGGGGGGGTAGAGATAAGGAACTACATGTTACCATTCAGAATAAGTATGTTATATACATCTCGAGAACAGAAAAGTGGAGCAATTAATGGAGGTGACCCAGAAATAATAATGGGACAGGAAAATGAGCGTGAACACTATCCAGCCATTCTAATCAACATATCCTGTCCAAGGGAATATATACCTAACACCTAAAACTAATCTGAAATCTGGACAACTTTGGTTTGGGGGGTGGGGAAGTCACAATGAATTATGAATAAAATTAGTGACAAATTATATTATGCAGCCATGTGCACAGCTTACTAAGTGGCTAGATACAGGGACAGCCTACAGATACATATGCAATTTGGTCTAAGGAACCAAAATACTGTGGTGAGTAGGCTACTAGTTATGAGCTACTAGCTTTTCTATCCACTTGTTTCCTGGCAGACCTAAGTGTCACTGGGATCACAGATTCAGATACAGGCAGGAATCTGGCTCAAAACCAACAAGGGAAGAAGTACTGGGGACTGGCGTTTCTACCAGCTGGAAGAAGTACACGGCCCACTTAAGGACAGAACCATGGCTTAGCCAGCCACCAGAAGGTAGACTCTGTGATTTCACTTAAGGACAGAACCATAGCTTAGCCAGCCACTGGGAGGTAGACTCTGTGATTCCACTTTAGGAGAAAGCCATGGCTTAGCCAGCCACCAGAAGGTAGACTCTGATGCAGCTTTTTCCAATTATCTCAAGAGAAGTCAGCAGTCTATCTTTTAAAATGTTAAACCTCCCAATTTCTAACTAAACACATTTTACCTAATTTCTATTTAACATAGTTTGTACTATTTAATTACATATTGAGAATTTCATACATGAGTATTGTATTCACATCATTTCACCTCTTTTTCTCTCCCCCATCTCCTCCCAAGTCCTCCCTCATGCTCTCTCAATTTCTTTTTGGAAGTGGAGACTATACCTTCGTTTCCTGGCTGCCCAGACCCAAATAATCCTATAGAAACTATATTAATTACAACACTGTTTGGAATTCCCCTCTGTATGCTGTGAAAAATGTTTTATTACCACTGGTTAATAAAAAAAAAACTACTTTGGCCTATGGCAGGGGAGAACAGAGCAAAACAGGAAAAAAAAACAGAATATAGGGAGAAAGAAGGCAGAGTCAGAGATACGTCAAGTGGCTGCCAAAGGAGATAGATGCCAGAATGTCACCGGTAAGCCACTGCCTCATGGTGATGCACAGATTAATAGAAATAGGTTAATTTAAGATGTAAGAGCTAGCTAGCTAGGAGTACACCTAAGCGATTGGTCAAACAGTATTGTAATTAATATAGTTTCTGTGTGATTATTTGTGTCTGAGCATCCAGGAAATGAATGAGCAGTAACTATTTACAAATGACGCCCACCATCTGGCATGGATCCACATAAGATCTAAAAATTATTGAGAGAGAAAGGGGGGGGGACTTCTAAACTCACAAAAACATGAGCCAAGTGCAGTTCTTTGGTAGCCCAAGTTTTTCAGATGGTCTCTTTTAGCTGGTGGTGAGCAGAGGCATGGATCCTTTAAGAGAAGGCTTCCTTACTTAGCCTTAGCAACAAAAACTGTGAAGTTTCTTTAAGAGAAGGCTTCCTGGTTCATACTGGTTGCACAAATGGCTCTGGCTATTTTGGGAGGTCCTGCCATGGAGCACTTAAATGGGGTTTGTGAGCACAATGATGACATAGACAGGCTGCATCCCTGGAGCTGGGGTGTAAGCATGGCTCATAGAGTTAGTGGTGAACATACTTCCGCCATATTGAATGAGGCAGAGCCAACAGGCAAAGCCTCAGCCTTCAGCCTAGCCACGCAGTTTAGCATTTTAAGAAGTGCTTCTGGTCAGAAAAGGATTACAGATATGCAATAAAGACAGACTCGGAAAAAAAAAATAAACCTCTGAATGGGTCATAGTATGTTTTTTAAAATATACATAGACTTAAGAAAAAAAGAAAATGGGTGTAGGCACTTAGAAAGAAATAGCTTTAAAAATAAGCAAAGTCTTTAAAGAGACAGTAAAAGTAATATTAAAACAGCACATAAAGATGGAAAATATGCAGAGAATCTGGATTATGTATACTATTGTTTTTTCTTCAAATTGTTTGACTATTAATGAGTTAACTGCAGAGAGACATTTGATTCTGAGGGCTGCTAAGCTAAACCAACATATATATTTCAAAAGTATCTTGACTTCAAAATTTGAGTCTAAGGCTATGTTACTTTGGAAAAGATGTTCTTTTTTTTTCATAGAAGATGAGAATCTATAGATTTATTCCAGGCTAATGTGGTTTGATGAACCAAAACCCCAAAAAAGGTCTCCATGAACCCTGAAAATATTTCACCCAACAAACAGTAGGAAGCAGTCTGGAGAAAACAAGGCCCAAATTTCCAAAATTATTGTTTATGAACTTTTATTTTCATTTTAAAGGGGTTGATTATAAATGGTTAATTTCACAGTCAGTCTCTAAAGAAAAACAAGGCAATATGATATAGAAATGAACACTTGGTATTGGTATGGATCTTGGTCTACTGACACAAATTTAAGATTGATTTTATGACACTATGTATATGTATTTCTGCTCTTGTTTAAGGCATTGTGTTTGTGCAGTTCATTTAAAAATGTAATGTACAATTAAAATTACAGATTAATAGTTATTTATAATACTCAAACTGTAGTCATATTAGTTAGGTTCTCTAGATATACAGAGATATATTTCAGTTAGATAATCTTCAACACTTCAAAGACTTACAGAATATGGCATTTAAAGGTTTTAAGATCTTAAACATTTCTCAACAGGAAGACATGTCTGCTCCAGGTAGCAGCAATTACTCCATAGAGGTTGATGGGCATTGAAGAAACTTGTTATGGAATTTGCCTTCAATATAACAAGATTAGCCATTTGGGCAAAAAACTGCTCTTGCCTGGACAGGTTGATGGTATGCTGTATGAACTGGATATGCAGGATCCACACCAAAAAATGACTGCTGACATTGCCTAAAGAAGGTGAGATGGTCCTTCAGAGTTCTTGCTTCATGAAAGAGTCTGCCAGACGTTCTGCAGGACCCAGAAGAAAGTGACTGACAAACTGCCAATATAGGTAGAACAGTCTTTCAGATTTCCTGCTTCATGAAAAAGTCTGCTGGGTACTAAGGGTCGGAGGGCTGAAGATGGATGCCCCAATGTTACAGAAGAACTTTGGGTGACTGTTCAAGCAGCGAGATGTCTCTGTCAATTCTAGAGTTTTGGAAGTTGCTTATAATGCACTTCCTGTTTACTTAGGTAATATTATACATTCTGGGGTCTTTGATGGAGTTGAAGACAGTTATAGTTTTCCTTAGTTATTATAAAAGATAAATTAGATATAAAATTTTAGATATATATAGACTAAATATTGTATATCTACAATTCTTGTTTTGTTATATGTAAAAATATATTATTATTATGCTATTATGTTAAAATTAAAATCTTCCTTTTTATTTAGACAAAAAGAGGAGAATATGTGAGATTCCGCTCTGTATGCTGTGAATATATTTTATTACTATTGGTTAATAAAGAAACGACTTTAGTGTATGGCAGGGCAAAATAGAGCAAAACAGAAACACTAAACTGCCTGCATGAAGAAAGAAGGTGGAGTCAGAGAGACATCATGTAGTTGCCAAAGGAGAGAGATGCCAGAACATTACTGGTAAGCCACAGCCTCGTGGTGATATGCAGATTAACAGAAATGGGTTAATTTGAGATGTAAGAGTTAGCTAGGAATACACCTAAGCTATCGACCAAACAGTGTTATAATTACAGTTTCTGATTATTCGGGTCTGGGCAGCTGGAAAACAAATGGGTAGTCTTTGTTTACATTTTTTTCAAGACAGGCTTTTTCTGTAGCTTTGAAGCCTGTCCTGGAACTAGCTCTTGTAGACCAGGCTGGCCTCGAACTCACAGAGATCTGCCTGCCTCTGCCTCCCAAGTGCTGGGATACAAGGTGTGCACCACCACTGTCCAGTTCACTCTCTCAATTTTTATCTCTTCTGCTATAATCATTACTCTCTCTCTTCTCTCTACCCTCCTTACACACACACACACACACACACAGACATACACACACACAAAACCCTACCATTTAGTGTTACTCTTACAACGTGTGTTTCGGGCTAACCACTAAAACCTATCAGGAGGTTCATCCCTGGTGAGAACTGATTCTCCCTCTCTCTGTGGCCATTGATCACCTGTAGCTCTTCATCCATGGGTAGGGTCTGACGAATATCTCCCATCCACATGGGCACACCAACTGGTGCTGTCATCATGGAGGTCTTTGGCTGTGGGTATACTGATCCATAATCTGTGTAAATCTTCTTATATATGAGATTTTACTTAGAAATAGAGGACCAGAAAGATGGCTCAGTGGATAAGAGTACCTGCTATCAAGACTGATGGCCTAAATCCAATCCCTCAGGACCCACATGGTGGGGGAAGAAAACAGGCACCTGAATGCTTTGGCATGCCCACATATATACACACACACGCACACAAAATAAGTAACAAATATTCAAAAAAGAGATGAGGTAAAGCAATACACCAAAGCTTTCAGTTTCTAAACATAAACATCTAACTACGGGATAACACGTCATTAAGTTTTATCCCATCTCACCTGGTTAATGTTATCTGAAATATTTGATATCCAGCAATAAAAGACGCCAATCTCGAAAGGCTCTGCTTTCCTGAGCCACCGACACCCACCAGCAATGCATTCCCACAGGAAGTTCGGATTATTCGAGAGATCTATTTTTTGAAATAAGAGTTTATCAGAAAAATGGGTGCAAATTTCTCCATTTTCTTGCACTAACAGGGTTAAAGTCTGACCATGTGTTTCCAGACTACTTTAGACTCTTTCTTAATAATGTTATGTCTTGGCTTTTGTTGTTATTTTAACATGCCACATTGTTTTATTTAACTCAGTTTCTTTCTTTTGTTAATTTATGTGTTCATGTCACATGTATGTCACATCTGCGTAGGTGTGTGTCACATGTGTTGTGGGGGGTGCCTCCAGAGGTCAGAGAAGGGCGCTGGATCCTTTGGAGCTGGAGTTACAGATGATAATGAGCCACCCAACGTGGGTGCTGGGAGCCACACCCAGGTCCTGTGCAAAAGCAGCGAGTACTCTTAGCTGCTAAGCGGTCTCCCCAGCCTGTTCAGTTTCATAAAAACAGAACAAGTAGGGATTACTCTCTCCTGCTTCATAACTGTTCTGTGTGTTTACACGCATGTGCCATTACTTTTATTTTTTTAATTTATTTTATTTTTACTTGTGTGTATGTGTGGGGTGGGGGTACATGTTGCACAGGTACCCAAGGAGGCCAGGAGAGGATAGCAGATCTGCTGGAGCTGGAGTTGCAGGCGGTTGAGAGCTAGCCAGTGTGGGTCCTGGGAACCAAACGCCGTCCTCTGGAAGAACAGCAAGCGCTTTAACCTCTGAGGCGTCTCCCCAGCCCTCATTTAATTTCTTTAAGACTTCCTGGGTGCTAAGGATACATGAAGTGTAAGAAAGGGTTAACGTTGATTGTGTATTGTCTGCCGTCTGTTACAAGGAATCATAAGGATACCGATGCACAAGGAACACTGCCATCTCTCTCCGCAAAGTTTCAAACTTCTGTGATTAGCAAGAGTAAAGAGGACACTTTTAACAGAAGGCTTGTGGGAGCTACCTTCCCACCTGGTGTGGCTGCTCGGTGGCCGATTCCTGCAGTACAGATACCAGGCAAATGGAGGCCCAGAGATTATGCAGGCCATGCGGAGACATTGCAAAAAAAAAAAAGCCATCTTTTAGTCTTTAATGCTAATGCCACCAACTGGGAAGAATAGAGGTGGCTCATTGAATCCATTATTATCCATAAAGGTATCTATTTTTAAAGATTTTACTTATTTCGTTGTATGTCTGTACATGTTTTATCTGAGTTTCTGTCTGTGTACTGCATGTACACAGTGCCCAAGGAGGCCAGAAGAAGTGACAAGCCCTCGGGACTGGAGCTAGAGACAGTCGAGATACTGTGTGGGTGCTGGGAACCAAACCTGGCTCTTCTGGAAGAGCTCCCAGTGATTTTAGCCACTGAGCCATCTCTCCAGCACCTTTAACTGGTTTTTTTTTTTTTTAAAACATATGATCCATCTTATAACAAATCAGCAATTACACTTTGGTTACACATGGATGACGTCACATTTTACACCTAGATGAGGGTCCCAAGGCCTCTGAGTCCTTGTCATGGTGGGAGTTTAGTAACTAATATATTAGATGCATCAATGATGTAGGACGATAATCTGTCTGTGTGTTACTTTTATTGATTAATAAAGAAACTGCCTTGGCTTTTGATGGACAGCAGCTTAGATAGGCAAAGTAGACAAAACAAAATGCTGGGAGAAAGAAGCAGAGTTAGGCAGGTGCCATGATTCTCCAGCCCGAGACAGACGTAGGTTAGAATCTTGCCGGTAAGCCACAGTCTCATGGTATTACACAGATTACTAAAAACAGGTTAATCAAGATATTAAAACTAGCCAATAAGAGGCTAAAACTAATGAGCCAAGCAATGTTTAAATGAATACAGTTTCCATGTAATTATTTCGGATAAAGCTAGCCAGGCGACCAGGAGCTGGGAGGGACACTGTCCACCGCTCCTTCTACACATCATATGGAAATTTCATGTCTTTTGAGACATGAAAGAATTTCACTGACTTTGAGACTGTATCCACACATGACGTCATCACTGCTAGGAAGAAGTCCTCTTCCATCATCCAATCACATAAAGGAATAACCTGTCTGGCAGCTTTTCATCAATGGATCACACCATGCTACCTCTAAATAGCATTCGGTTGGAAGCGTCACCTCAGCCCATAACATCCTTATCCAAAAAAGTGTGGAATGTTTGGCTAGGGGCTTCACCCCAGCCCCTGACATTTTGGAATGTTGGGTGGAAAGTTCCATTTCAAGCCCCTTCCCCTGGGGGTTGCTTCAGTCCAAACTCCACCTCCGAGAAAGCCCACCAAACCGTGATTCCTCCCCCAGAGGGTCAAGACCACTCCCACAGGCTATTTAAACAAACACTTGGTCTCTCTGGTTCTCCTTTTCCCTCTCCGTGGTTTCCTCGGTCTTCCTCCCCGGGGGGCTGAAGGGCCACCCCGGAGCGCTGGCATCCATTTAACTTGGGTCTTTTTCTAATTTGGTTTGATTTGGTCTGATTTGGATTCTTGAGTCAGCAGAGAGGTTTATCAGGCCAGAAAAACTTAACCAATAGCTCTTTCTCTCCCTATCAGTCCAATGCACCTTTCTTTTCCCTTCCCATCCGTTTGCCCCCAATCTGCTCCCCAGCCAGAATGCTGACACTTTGAGAAATTGTCTTTTCATCCCTGGGCAACAAAATTCCCACAACAGGGCTGTGGAGATAGCTCCGCAGAAAAGTCTTTGCTGTGTGCCTGGCGGTGGTGGCACAGGCCTTTAATCCCAACACTTAGGAGGTAGAGGCAGGTGGATCTCTGTGAGTTCAAGGCCAGCCTGATCTACAGAGTGAGTTCCAGGACAGCCAGGGCTACACAGAGAAACCTGTATCAAAAGAGAGAGAGAGAGTGAGAGAAAGGAGAGAGAGAGGGAGGAGAGAGAGAGAGAAGAGAGAGAGAGAGAGAGGAGAAAGAAAGAAAGAGAGAGAGAGAGAGAGAGAGAGGAGAAAGAAAGAGAGAGAGAGAGAGAGAGAGAGAGAGTCTTTGCTGTGCAATCATGGGGACCTGAGTTCAAATCCCAGAACCCATGCAAAAAAAGCCAGGAATGATCATGTACCCCTGGCATTATGAGGGCAGAGACAGGAGGGTCACCAGAGATGGTTGGTTGCCAGAGATCCAGTTTCAGTGAGAGATCCTGTGCCCAGGGAATAACGTGGAGGATGACAGAGCAGGGCACCCCACATCCTCCCTGGCCTCTTGTGAGCATGGGCACACACGCCTGCACCCACGATAATTAAGCATAATTCCAAGGAAGAGCATTTCTTCACAGGCTGTTGGGGCTTCCTCTGAGAATGGAGAGCACTCAGAATCAGAATGCCAGAAGTTCTGGGCACGAAATCCATCTGCCCTTGGAAAACACATGTAAGCAGGCTCTTAATAATTCACTGCTTTCAGAAACAGGGAGCTGATTCAACCATGGCTGCTCTTCCCGGTGCTGCCTGGCAGGGTAGATGCTATCACGGCACAGTTACCTAAGAAACTAAGCTAACAACGTTCACCTATCCCAGGAAATGGTCAACAGAACCTTAATTAGGTGAGTCATTGCATCTTTAAAAAACACCAGGTCAAGAGATGTGCCTCTGATGATCTCGTTGAACTGCCTCTGGTAAGACTGGAGTTTTTCACACAGAAATTCGAAAGTTGGCACCTATCAGAGAGAAAAAAATAATCTGTAAAATCCAAATTTTTTTTGATGTAGCAAGTATTTTTTCTGTTTTTAGTCTGTGTTTTCGTAGTTTAGCTTTTTGAAAATATACAGAAATTTTACGTTTTCTATTTTTAGTCTGTGTTTTCATAGTTTAGCTTTTTGAAAGTACACAGAAATTTTGTTGTTTATGTGACCTACAACTTTGTTGCCCTGAAGCAAAGCCTTGCCTACTGTATTTTACATTATTCTTCTGCTCAGCCTGACATGTGATCTTCTCCCCTCCCCCAAATGTTTTATTTCATTAAATCTACCTCTTTTTGCTTATTTTATATTTATGTGTATGCGTGTTCCTGAATGCGTTTTTGTAAACTATATGTCTGCAGATGCCCTTGGAGCCAGAGGTGTCAGACACCCTGGTCCTGGAACAACAGAGGGTTGTGAGCTGCTATGTGGGTGCTGGGAACCGAACCAGAGTCCTCTGGAAGAGCACTCAGTGCTTTCAACTGAGCCGTCTTGCCAGTCCCCAATCTATTAATATAGGAAGACAGCTATAATCTCTATTTAATTCACTGAAGTTGTATCACACCAATTCCTCAATACTTTATCGAGGGACCGAGGCTGTTGAACAACACACTTTCAAGGTGACATTTTCTCACTCGGGACTGTTGGCAAAGGCTGGCCAAACTTCCAGAACTCCCATAACTATCTAAACTAGTACATACTTCAGCTTGGCGATCCCTAACTATCTAAACCAGTACATATTTCAGCT